GGAGAGGGAGGAAAGGAACCGGCTCACCCATATTCAAAAGTATCTGAGAATTGTGCTTCCTCTAACGTAATGCTTTCATGTCTTATCTATGACATTAAAATTTGTTTTGCTTAAAAACTGAAACTGATTGAGGTCTGGAAGATAAAAATTATTGGAGCCACACAGCTTTTGCTTCTGTAGATACTGATAAACCCCAGCCAGATTCCCAGCACCACTGTTTTCAGGTATGGGCCATGGGGACGTTCTGCATTTTAGGCATGGTTGCCATGGCATTTGACTCTGTTTCCCACGTCTCTGAAAATTTCATTGTTGATCCCCTTACCTATTTCATTGCCATTCTGCACTATCAAAATTATCCTAATTACAGGGTCTGGAGAGATTGCTCAATAGTTAAGGCAACACTTGCTGCTCTTGTAGAAGACCAGAACAGTGGCTCACAACCATCTGTAGCTCTACTTCTGGGGGATCTAACGCCCTCTTCTGGCCTCTGTAGGTGCTGAGAATGCACATGGTACACAGACATACAGGCAGGCAAACACCCATAATCATAAAATAAATTTTTTTTCATTATCATAGTATTACATTGATAGGTGGGACTAGCACTCCTATATATTGTTACTTCCAGAAGTGTGTCTGACTCTTACTTTGCCCTTTGTTATTTTTTTTAATTAATGTCTTTTTAATCCTTTTGTTATGTTCCAAGAGTGGTACAACTATTTTTATTATACACACAGCGAACTTATAAAATGATTTGATGACAATGAACATTTAAAAGACCTTTGATGCTATTGTCTGAGGAATTAGCCAGTCTCAGAGCAGATGGAGACTCCTTATAGTTGTTCCATCGAGCTGTTACACAGTTTTTTAGACATAGTACTTTTAGAAAGTTTGCTATTTGAATTCTGCCTTTCAAAATATGTTCTGGCTGTTGGTCCTAGTGTTTTAGAAATAAGCTGGTTTTTGCAGGACGGAATCTTGGTCTGTCTGTGATGAAATGTCCGGTCAATCCTTGGGAATTGCTTTGTAGGCAACCACGTCGCTTAGAAACCAGCAGATACACGCTTCCCTCTCCCATTGTGCTCACTTTTTCTTGCATAATTGAATTGGCTGTCTAGGAAATTCATCACTTCGAATGTTGGGTGTAAAAGGCCTCACTGTCCCTTCCCTGTCATTAATAGGACCGTGTGTAAATGTCACCAGCTTAACAGATATCTATACCTGCCTCCTACACACCACACATTGCTACAACATTGAAAAGAAAGGCAGAAAGCGATTCCCTGTCCTCATTCAATTTACTTTCTAGGTGGTTAGAAAAAGATGTGCAGACCTTGTAGGAATCCGGTGATGATGCCTAGTAGAGAGAAAAGTTAATGGGAAAAGATGGTGCTTCATATTAGAAGCAGAATGAGCTGTAACTGTACATAAAACAGTCACGGAATGTTCTGTGGAGAATGTGGCATTTGAGTCAAGACATGAGAGGGTCGGCCCCAAGGATGGAACAAGTCTAAAGGCTCGGACACACATGTGGGCACCAGACATGGCTGGAGAGTAGCCAAGGAAGTCAGGGATTTGATCAGAGTCCGTGATGAGGAGGGAGATGCAGCAATCAAAGAAATGTTGGAGGCAAGAAGTTCGGCCCCACTCTTGAGAGTAATGAGAAGCTGCCGGAGATTTTTGAGCAGGGTCCAACGGAAAACTCTTTGCCAAAATGATTGGTCTGTGTTTTAAAAGAAAAACTAGCTGCTGTGTCAGGAGTAAATGGAGGGAATGGGAAGAGCCGCCGGGAGATAGAGGCAGAGGGAGAACAGAGGAGACCAGTTAACAGGCCTCACACTTGCTGGTCTGCTGATGTGGAGCCTGGGTAGAATAGAGGGGCCTTGGAGGAATATGGAATGTTGGACTGAATGTTTGGAATGTTGGGATATTTCACTTAACTGAGATTAAGAAAACTGGGAGAAATAAAGTTTGGGGAAAAGACAATAGTCAGATTAAGACGTGTTGTATTTGAGGTGCTAAATTGAGAAAGCCATGGGGAGATGTCAACTAGGTGGGATTGAGGGCCCCAGATTCTGAAAGGAAAAAAAAATCTCAATTGGGCATTGTATTTTGAGGATTATAAAAATTCTTCAAGAAGTAGATTCACTTTTTAAAGAATCGAGGATTTAAGGAATAAATACCTAACAAACAAACAAACAAATTGCAGAATTGTTCTAAGGACAGATCACTAATTTTGAAAGTGGAGGAGATGGAAAGAAAACCCCAGTGTTGGCCTGGAAGACATGAGTGAGATAGAACACAGGTGAGGTAATGCCCAGGAAAGCGAGCAAGGACAGTGCTTACAAGAACCATCAGTGTCTGCCTTACTCACTGCAGCTGCTTGTGGTGATATTGTGCCCCCAATATATTGTAAACTCCAATAAACTTATCTGGGGGTCAGAGAACAGAACAGCCACTATATTAAACATAGATTTAGGCAATGGTAGCACACGCCTTTATTCCTAGCATTCCGGAGGCAGAGATCCATCTGGATCTCTGTGAGTTCAAAACCACACTGGAAACAGCCAGGCATGGTGACACATGCCTTTAATCCCAGGAAGTGATGGCAGGAAGCAGAAAGGTATATAAGGCGTGAGGACCAGAAACTCGAGCCCCTTTAAGCTTTTAGGCTTTTGAGGAGCAGTACAGCTGAGATCCATTCAGATGAGGACACAGAGGCTTTCAGTTTGAGGAAACAATATCAGCTGAGGAATGGTGAGGTGATGTTGGATTGTTCTGTTTCTCTGATCATTCAGTGTTCACCCCAAATCCTTGCTCCTGAGTTTTTATCAATAAGACCTTTTAAGATTTGTGCTACATGGCCGGGCGGTGGTGGTGCACACCTTTAATCCCAGCACTCGGGAGGCAGAGCCAGGCGGATCTCTGTGAGTTCAAGGCCAGCCTGGGCTACCAAGTGAGTCCCAGGAAAGGCACAAAGCTACACAGAGAAACCCTGTCTCGAAAAACCAAAAAAAAAAAAAAACAAAAAACAAACAAACAAACAAAAAAAAAAAAACAAAGATTCGTGCTACAGCTGCTATAACAAACTTCCATGGGCTGGTTGTTTTATCAACAAGGGAGGTGTGTTTATTGTGGTTTCACAAGCTGGGAATCAGAGTCTGGGGTCCAGCATTGCCAGATTCTGATCAACTGCTGACTTCTCTTCACATCCACCCAGGGAGGAAGGCAGGAGAGTACCCTGGGGTCTGTTGTATAAAGGTAGTAATTATACTCACATGGACTCCATCCTCCTCACTCTGGTTACCTCCCCTAAAAAGTCTTACCTTTTAGTACCATCACACTAGGAAACAGGACAGGAATTCAATGTACGGATTTGGGGATGATAAGTTCAGTCCATTTTAATGCCAATTGCTACCAATAGGCCTGTTGCATCTTAATTTATTCCATCACTATAACAGAAGACCTGGAGCCCAGCAATGTATAAAGAAAAGTTTGCTTTGGGCCTTGCAGTTCCAGAGTCAGGGAACTTAGAAGAGAGGGTACCAACATCAGCTTAGTTTCTGGTGCAGGCCGCATGCTAAAGTCTACACAGGGCAGAAAACAGACAGCAAGCAGACATGCATGAAAGATTGGACCAGGGCAAGCTGATGTAAAATAACCCACTCGTGTGATGAGTTTAGTCTCATCAGAAGTTCATTAATGCTTTCACAAGGGCACATCCACCGTGACCCCATTGCCTGTGAGGGCTTTTACCCCCCCCCCCCCCCCACTGCCAGTACATTGAGGAGTTAAACTTCAGTGTGAGTCTTACTGAGACAATCTGACATTCAACCCACCACAGTTTAGTGAACAAGGAACAAAATGACTCTTGGATGAAAAGATATGGAGATATTTGTGATGTATACAAGATCAGTGTCCACAGGAGGGAAGGGCTGTGTCCCCTTTTCCTAATTTATATAGCTTTAAATGTAATTCTGATTCTTTCTAAACAGGGAAACCTAGGGGCTCTATCTTAGCCAATCATTAAGTCTGGTGTCATATTTTTACCAGTTGCAATTGTTAACAGGGCATGGCTCCTTCCTCTGACTTTGTTTCCTTCTGACAGCAGGCTTAAGTAATAGAGTGAATCTGTCAGAAACAATCCCCACCCCTGAATTTTTGTTTAGCTGAATATAAAATTGCTGAGTGTCCATTCTTTCTCAGCATAAGGAAAGCGTTATTTTCCTCCCCATCACCATGCTTGTTAACAGCTTACTGTCAATCAGAATGTTATTTCTCTGTTATTAATTCCACATTCACCCCTTCACTTTGTAAGTCTGTGTTTTACTATATGTGTAAGTGTGGGTTTATTTTTACTTTATTCATCCTGCTCAGCATGTGGTGTGCTCTTTCACTGTGAGTTTTTGTTTTGTTTTCTTCTGAAAAGTTCCCAGCCAACCCCCCCTTAAAATACCACTCCACTGACAATCTGTTAATTCTTTCTTCAGGCTAAAAATATTGTTGCTTGTGTGCTGGGACCTCCGTGTTTCCCCTCTGCTTATGTCCATTCTCTTATGCTTCAATCTTTTGTTTTTGTCTTCACTGCATTCTCTATCTATTCCTTGACACTATAACTTAATTCTTCTGGAGTTTTTTTTTTAATATTGTTTTGGATTTATTTATTTTATGTGCATGCGTATTCTGGCTGCATGTGAATACGTGTTCCATATGTGTGCAGTGCCTGCAGGGTCCAGAAGAGGGCATCAGATCTCCTGGAACTGGAGATACAAGCTGTTTGCAAGTCCCCTTGTGGGTACTGGGAACTGATCTCTGGGTCCCCTCTGCAAGAGCAACTGGTGGTCCTAAGCACTGAGCTATCTCTCTGGCTCCTGGGGAGTGTTTGAAGAAGAGGGCATTCCAATGTTCTGGGTTTTCCATTTCTGATTCATTGTGTCTAATCTTGTTTCCCTTCGCTTGCCTTTTTTGGCAGTCTTTCACACCTTGTGTCTTCTGTCTCCCTTCAGCCAGCTGGGTTCTGAAGCAGCTGAAATGAGAAAACGGCAGCAGTCCCAAAATGAAGGAACCCAGGCTGTGTCTCCAGCACCCGGAAACCAGAGGCCCAACAACACCTGCTGCTTCTGCTGGTGCTGCTGCTGTAGCTGCTCCTGGTAGGTCCATACTAGACCCTATACTAGTGGAAGCATATGTACCAAAGCTTTGTCTCACAGAAACCTGCCAACCTGTTCTCCTTGCCCATGGTGTAGGTAGAAATCTCTGAAGACCGTCATGTGATGTAAGATGCATATCCCATAAGCAAAATTAGCTCCCTCAGTGCTGACATTTAAAATGTTGGTAAAGAATGGGAAATTTCTTTAATGTCATGGTTTCTTCCATGTATGCTTCTTATGGATATGGATAAAAATAATAAGGTCATAATTGTGAGGTTACCTATCTACAAGCAACAGTGACAGGATGGTTCAAGAGCCAGGAATATTAAGGGAGTGTCCAAAACTATTGCACCCAGTGTTAAGTTTAGTGTTCTGTTTTGTTTTTTATTACGTTTCCTCACAGGGGTTGGTTGCATCTGGTGGTATAATCAGAGCACTGTGAGTCAGAGTGGTGGCCTTAGCCACAGCCCTCTTGCCAGCAAAGCCATGGAGTGAAGAGGGAAGGACTTAGGACCACAAATCTGAAAGATCAGACACTATGCTTGGAAGGAAGATCAAGTCAGTCCACTAAAATCTCTGAAATTAGAGCCACAGAGTATTGTTTTTGTTGCAGTTTAACCACTGACATGCTGCAGGATAGCTGTTTATTCTTTTCTTCCCCCCTCAAACCATAAAAAGAAAGACAAGCTGGTCTCCAAGGTTTCGGTCTTATGCTAGATGTCCATTCTTCAGGTCTCTTTCCAGGTCCAGATTCACAAAGTGTACTAAATGTGAAAATCAGTCAATTCAAAATCTGTGAGAGTTACATGGATTAGATAGCTCAAGACAAGACTATATTTACTGGAACTTCCCATTGAACCCTAAGCTTGGGGGTTCTTTCAAGACCCAGTTTTATAAGTAGAACTACCAGCGTAGCCATGGCTACTAGGTCTCCCTGGCCTGTTTCAAAACCTAACAGAAGGCCCAAGTGGTCAAGTCATCTTCTGCATGGCCTCCATGTTTTTCCAGTGTCCATTGAGGTTGCTCTTTTGATATGGTCCAGCTTCACTGTGGCCAAGGCAGAGGATGGAAGCGTGTCCTCACAGTGAGTTGATGGTCTCCCTTGACGATGAAAAAGCTGCAGCTGATCACGAAAAGTGCAGGCCCAGGAAGCCGCACATATTGTAGTCATCAGGAAGGCTCAGGGAGGCTCAGACTGGTTCTTTTTATAAGTATAAAATTTGCTTTCTAAATGACGATTCTCTGTTAGGGAAAGTCATACATGATTAATTTGCATTCAATTTCAGATGAAGGAAGGAGAGTTCTAGATGGGGTTGCTATCTCTGTCATAGTTAAGAGGTTTTCTGTTGTTGTTGTTTTTTCTCATCACCCCTACAGAGAATATTGAGCACAATTCTTAACCCATGAAAGGACCTAGTGAGACAGTATGGGAGTTCCTTAGGCAGACTGCCAGGGATCAAATTGTGTTCTTATTTGTTAGCAACTGTGTAACCAATAATAAACTAGTTCATCTTTCTGGTCCTCACAAGCCTCATCTGTCAAACAACTAATGTGAACCCATATCTCATAAGGCTATAAAATTAAATGAGATGTTACGTGCGGTGTGCTAGCAGGAGCCTATGACACAGAGCGAGCATTTGATATGATTTAGCTCCCCGGGCAGTGGAAAATGGCCTACTGGAATAATAGAATCCACTCAAAGAGTGTAGTGCAAAATTAAAAAAAAAAAACAAAACAGCATGAGATGGTTCAGCAGGCAAGAGGACTTGCCATGTGAGCCTCGTGACCTGAGTTTGATCCCTGGGACCAACACACTGAAAGCAGAGCGGCATCCCCGGACGGTTGTCACCTGGCTCCACACACCTGCCGCAGCACACTCATGCCTGCACACACACACGAGCATGCACACACATGTCACATATACACACAACGATGGCAAAAGTTTAGAAGCAGCATGAAGGTGCAGCACAGAAACTAGCCTAGAAAACAAAACTATTTTATCCTAAATTCTGTATAAACACCGGAATCCGGTTACGTGGCATTAAAGATGGACTTCAGTTTCTCATTTGCCCTTTGATGTGTTCCTGAGATAAGTTATTGTTTAATTTGCCTGGTAAAATTTAGTTTTCAATTTTTTATTTGTTTTTATGTTTCTGGGTATTTTGCCTGCATGTACGTCTATGTGCCACGTGCCTCACCGGTGGCCAGAAAGACCAGAAAAGGGCGTCCAATCTCCAAGGATTGGAGTTACAGATGGTTCTGAGCTGCCCACTCCCTGTGGGTGCTGGGAGTCGAACCCAGCTCACCTGGAAGAGCGGCCAGTGCTCTTTACCACCGAGTCACCTCTCCAGCCCCCAGTTCTTCATCATTTTCAAAATTAAAACACTCTACGATACTCTTAAAGTTGGATTGTATGCTGTTAGATGACTAATAAATACAGACATTTGCCATTTTAACAACAGGGATATATTCTGAAAACCATAAGTAGGGCCATTTCATCCTTTTGACAGCATCTTAGGTTGGACCTAAGCAAACCTAGATCATGCAGGCCAACCACTCCATGTGGCTCCTTGAGGACTCAGGAGGCAGGAGATGGATGCTCTCGTGTAGGTTCCTTGGACTATTTTTTATGAGTGATATTATTTTTATTTTATTTTATTCTTCTATACGGGTGTTTTGTCTGTGTGTGTGTGTCTGTGTACCGCATGCATGCAGTGCCTACAGAAGCCAGAAGAGGGCATCAGATCCCCTTGGACTAGAGTTATAGACCAGTGTGAGCCACACCATGTGGGTGCTGGGAACTGAACATGGATCCGCCAAAGAATAGCCAGTGCTCTTAACTCCTGAGCCACCTCCCCAGCCCTGTGACATTATATGTATTGGTGCACTCTACCAACAAAAAGTACAATAAACACAAAAACGGGTAACAACATAGTTATTCATTAGCGAGTGTATACTGCACATAGCTACATGTGCTGTGTGCTCATGTGACCTGCAGGATAGGTGACTGCCTAAACCAGCATCATTGCAAACAAGTGAGTCATGTATTGCCCCACAACACAACAGTGGTGAAGCTGTCACTAAGAGAGGGAATTTTAAGCTCAATTATAATCCAGGACCACTGTTACTTATGATCTGTCACTGATGGCAACATTTTTATGTAGTATGCAACTATACTCTGGGAGTTTTGATTCTGTTGCCTCCTAGACATCTTTGTGACTATATGCATTGAATCATCAAACACCCCAACTCGTTTGTAAGCATCAGACTGTCCCAAAACACAGACTAAAGATCATGAACAAAGTAGCCTTTAGAAGCTGCGTCAGCCTTCAACACCCTTTGAGTAACAATATTTTAGACACCCCCGAAAGGCATGATGCCTTTCTTGCCTGGGTGCTCTGTTAGCTAGTCTGAAACTGCTATCAGCAGTGGATCATGATTGCCTAAGGAACTTAAAATTATAGTCTACATTTAACAAGGCACAAACATGATAGCTAGCTTCTCTTCTCATATGAAATTTTGTTTTTATTCATTGTACATAATGAAAGATTCCATGAAGGTGTTCTCATGTTAAGTGTACCATGTACCTTGAGTATATTCATTCTCTCGCCTTCCCTTTTCTCACCCCCCGCCCCGCCCTTCTCCTATTCATTCACCCAGATATAAGCAGTTTGAGTTTTCAGGAAGCACAAAAATCCAATTGCCTTGCACTATGGATTTTAATTATAGTATTGTTTACATGATTTCAGATAAAAATATCCTTTACACATAAAGTTTTTAGAATTTCATTATTTTTGTGCTTTGAATTTAAAAAAGAAAATTGTAAGGTTTTTTTTTTTTGAGTGAGAAATACTTTTTAAAAAAAGAAAGAAATGTTCTTTAAATTTTCCAGGCTAGGTCAAAGGAGCAGAACAAACAGCACCATGAAAAAAAATGTAATTTAGAGCCTAAAAAGCGTTAGGAATCAAAACATGAAGCAGCTGTCCCCTTGGATGGGGGACTGCTGTTGTGTGACTGGCTTCACTTCCTTTTAAGGAAGTAAAGAGCTGAAAAAATAAATTTCTATGTCTAGGGATAAACGTAAATGCTTCACTATAGCTTCACATTATGGGCTTTTTAAACCATGTGGCATTTCTTTCAGATTACATTTCTCATCCACACTTCACTGACAGCCGTCATTCACGTAATAATTTCCTCCTCCTCATGAAATTATTAGCATTTCACTGTAGAAAGGGGTGCAGGGGACATTCCTGCTGGGTGTCCCTATGGTCTCCTCCAAGTCTAGAGTGCGGCGTACTTCGTGATGACTGCTAGGAACTGTGGCCTTGGGCAAGAGCCCCTTCCTTCCCTAACACAGTCTCTTTCTCTTGTTCCCTCGTGTCCTCCATTTCAAGAAGAAATGTGAAGAAAATGAGATTTATATCCTTTCACTGCCTTACACACGAGCCATGAATGCCCCAAGTACAGTGAACAAAATCCACATGTGTGCTGAGCCTTTTCTGCAGGAAAGAAAAGGGAACTTTGACAGCACCACTCACGCATCTGAAGGTTCAAGGTCCACCCTAACTTGCCTCTTCAGCTAGTAGCCTTCTGGCTGATTCTTTTTACTGAGGAATAATTTGAAACATATGCTGCTCCTCACCACCTGCTGTCAGTACAGTATGAAGTTTAGGAGCTGCTACAACACTCGTACCCAAGATGGCATATGTGCAAGTGTGCTGGAGACTAGAAACTTATGTATTCACAAACACAAAGGGCACAGAGAAGGTCAGAGGGTAAACCTGTCCAGTGTTTTTTTGAACTTAGCGCTAAGGTCCAAATGGTCTGTGTAACCTCTCATGATAGCAGAGACTGCATCAAAATAATCCAGGCTCCTTTTCCCCAGTATCACTGGGTGCCAATTGCCTCTTCAATGCCTGCCTGCTTTTAGTGGTGTTCACCAAGCAAGAAATATTAAAAATTAGAACTCAAGAGCTATGATCTACCTACCATTCCCCCAT